TCACAGAGGTTTCGGTCTATAAGCTGGCTCCAAAGCACGGTGGCATCACAGAGGAGGAACAGTTTATAACAGGCAGAAGACAGCAAAGACAGCAAACAGCAAGCAGCAATAGCAGCCCCCTTTTTGTCCCTTCTATTCTATCAAGACGAGGCTACCCATTCTTAGGGTGGGTAGCACTCACAGCTAGGGTGGGTACCTTAACATTAGAGTCATACCATGAATCAATCCCATCATCAAATCCTTAATCCCAACACTGTGGCAGGCAACTGAGTTAGTTAAAAATGTTATAGGGAGTGAGACAGGGCTAGGTCCTCAATGGAGCCAGTGCAGGTACCTGGCACCTGCAGGGGACACTGACACCTCCTGCTGTGGACCGGGCCTCAAGACAAAAGACCAAACAAATGCACCCATATCCTGAAGATTAATGCCCTAAGTAGTTCCCATTCCCTTAGGAAAGAGTCCGTGCTCCTTAAGAATGCCTGCTTTCTAAGTGACTGGCTTCCCCATTTGTCCTTAATGTAAATCAATTTTACCCAAACAATAGTTTGATCTTATTGGCTATAGTTGATTAACTATAGTTGATCTTATTGGCTAACTATTGGGAACCTTATGCCCATCTGCCTTGTGAGTTCCCAGTCTTCCCCCACCTTGAACCCATGGTTTTACTCTATAAAAGTCCCAGGAGGGGCTAGGGATTTAGCTCAGTGGCATAAGCACCTGACTTGCAAGCAGGCAGTCGTGAGTTCGATCCCTGGTACCAACAAAAAAGAAAAAGACAAAAAAAAAAAAAAGAGTCCCAGGAAAAGACAGAATCCTTGGCAACCCCCTGGGGAGCCCCTTCTGTCTCTCTCAGACCGAAGCCTTCTTTCTCTCAATAAATATATTTTGCCCTTGACTTCTGTTGTTCCTAAAATTCATTTTTCGATTTTAGAAAACATGAGATGGTACCAGACATGGTAGGGTGGGAGTTTCATTCTCCTATATCAACATCACACACTCTAGATCCAACCACCAAGGGAAAAGCTCCACCTACGACTACATGAGGTTTTGGAGGATCGTCTACACACAATCCACAATCCTTGCTATTGGCAGAGTGGCGTAGTTCTTGCTATTAATAGATTTTCTCTGTATGCCATTATTTAGACTACTCTGTGTCACTGGCAATTCTGCAGTCAATTCTGGAAAACTGGCTACTGAGCCAAATACATTGCATTCTCTCACCCCAAGTTAATGAAAGTGGTTGGATTTGGGAAATGATACAAAGCCTATAGTTAACCATATCCAGAGCACATCACAGAAAAGCAAGCACTAAAGAGATCTATACAGTAGCCAAAATGAAAAATGGAACTTATCAGATCATAGTGGAAACTAGAATTAAACAGGAAGGCAGGATACAAAAGCCACACAAACACATGGATCACACTTGAATCATCAATGGATCATTGAAGAGATCAGGAAAAGATTTAAAACTTCTAGAACAAATCAAAATGAAAATACAGCATGCAATAATTTCTAGGAAGTCCTAAGGTGGAATTTTATTATTTAGGAGAGCCCACCTGAAACAATCAAAGAGCTCTCAATAAGACTGACCTGGTGATACATTTCAAGTCCTCAGAAAAGTGGGAACAAACCAAAACCGAATCCAAAAGACAGAAAATAATTCGAAAATTAAGAAGTAAGACTATAAGATAGAGACTAAAACTCTACTCAGAATCCATGAAACAAAAGTTGTTTCTCTGAGAAGAACAAAGTTGATAAATCCTTACATAATTAACCAAAAGAAAGAGAAAAAAGATCCAAATCTGCACATTTAGAAGAGGGAGAAAAAAAGAATGTTAGACAATACTCAAATTTAGAGGATTATTAGAAAACATTTTAAAATCTATCTAATAATTAGAGAATCTAGAAAAAAATGAACAAAATTTCTAAACAGAATCAAAAAGATATACAATCCTTAGCAGACAAATAACAGGCAATTAGATTGAAGTAGTAGCACAGTCTCTCAACAAAGAAAAGCCCAGAAACAGAAGAGTTCATCATGACTTTACAAGAATGTTTTTTGATTATAGATTGTCAAAACCAATATTATTAAAATGGATACATTACTAAAAGAGATCTACAGATTCAGTGTAATCCCTATGAAAAAATGAATGGAATTCTCTACAGCACTAGAAAAAAATCTTAAAATTCATGTAGAAATACAACATACCCAGAATTACCAAAAGAATTCTAAGCAGAAAAAAAAAAAAGCAAAGTTAGCCTGGCGTGATGGCACATGGTTATAATCCTGGCACTTTCGAGGCTGAGGTACGAGGATCACAGCAAGTTCAAGGCCATTCTAGGATACAAAGTGAGTTCTAGGCCAGCCTAGAATAGTAAGATCCTTTCTCAAAAAAATTAAAAAATGTTTTAAAATTACATTGTTGAAGGAATCACAACACTCACGTTCAAGTTATACTGCAAATTTGTGCTCGTTTTGGCAGAACATACATGAAATTATACTGCAAATCCATCATAACAAAACCAACATTGGCACTGGCACAAAAATAGATACATAAACCAATGGAGAAGGACAGAAGGCCCAGGGCAAAACCACACAACTGTAGCTATCTGATTCTGAACAAAGAAGTCAAAACTATATGCTGGAGAAAACACAACCTCTTCAATAAATGATACTGAGAATCCTGAATAGTCAACTGTATGAGACTAAAATGATATCCTTATCTCTCAGCCTGTAAAAAAAATCAATTTAAAATGAATCAAAGAACCTAGCTATAAATTCTGAAACTTTGAAACAGTTAAAAAAAAAAATAGAAGAGACACCTGAAGACAGACACAGGCAAAGCCTTCCTGAATAGAACTCTAACAGTACAGGAAATATTAGCAAAAATTGACAAACAGGACTACATCAAATTTCACAAGTTTCTGCACAACAAGGGAAACAATTAATAGAGTAAAGAAATAGCCTGCAGAATGGGAAATCTTTGCAAGCTACTATTCCCCTAGAGGATTAATATCTAGAATATATATAAAGATCTCAAAACACAGCAAAAAAATCAAATAATCCAATCACTTAATGGGCAAAAGAATTGCACAGACATTTCTCAAAAGAAGTACAAATGGTCAATAATTATATCAGGATACTCCATGTACAGGTACAAATTCTCTATGATCAATGTGATCATTATGTATATCTAAATTGTACCAATAAACTTTTTTAAAATGTTCAACATCATTATCCATTAGGGAAATGTAAATCAAAACTATCTTCAGATTTCATCTTATCCTAGTTATGGTAAGTGAAAATATTTCTCACAAAAGGACGGTGGGTTGGACTTGGGGACATCTCCATTTTGTACCTCTTACAAAGTTTATATATTACACCCTTCCCAGTTGTCATCATCTCTGCTATTTAAGTTTATCAACTCCAGATTTATTGAAAATAAGTATTCTAGACAGACCAGCGTATCCCCCTAAGTACAGTTTTATACAGGGACTCTCTAGATTTCTTTAAATTGGCAAATATAATGAGCAGATTTATAAGAGGGTCTGATGAGGTTGTTTATTTCACTAAATGTCCCACACCAGGAGAGAATGAGTCATGTACCTGCTGTAACAGTTTCCTGTCTCGTTACTTGGCTTTGATGTTTACCAGTTTAAAAATGTAATCAGCTACAATTTACAGAATTATTGGAGAAGTTCCTAAATTGACCCCTAATGTATTTATGTTCTATTCAAAATTATTTCTAAACCAATAATAAAAAAACAAAAAGAAATATTTAACTGTTAAATATATTTGCATTTTCAAAATTTATAAATCAAACCACATAGTCAACCAAATTATTTATTCAATAATTTTGTTCTAGATAAACTGTTTAAATCTTATATTTTACAACAAATTTTACAACTCACTAAGAGACATAAGATTTTGGTAATTTGGAAAATTAGATTCTTTCTTCATGATTACTTAAAGTTTCTCCCACAAAAGCTAAAATTTCAAGTAAAGCTTTAAAATGTATGGCTAAGGGACTGGGATTTAGCTCAGTGGCATAAGCACCTGCCTCGTAAGCAGGCAGTCGTGAGTTCAATCCCCGGTGCCGATAAAAAAAAAAAAAAAAAAAAGTATGGCTAATGTCTCAATTTCAAAATGGTAGAATTACAGAAAGCAAGAAGTGTTTGATGAAGCAACTCAAGCTTCCTGGGTGTGCACAGCACAGAGGGTGTTCTCATCGCTTAAAGGTTTTGTTTTGTACAAGACAAGTGACCCCATTAAAAAATGAAAATAGTGTCTACTTTTTAAAAGAGTGTGTCCTTGGTAGACTCAAGAGGAAACATCCAATAACACAGAACATCAAGGAAGTTTGAACTTTGAGGAGAACAGAAAAGTTCTTTTACAACTCTTGACTTCGTACCTGTCTTCTTAGAGGTTTGAGGTCCAAATCTACAAGGGCAGGAAGGGAGGATAGTGGGACAGAAAGACAGACAGAAATAGAAACAAGAAGAGAGATACACAAAGAATACATAGAATAGCACATTTCCTAGTTTTGTGGAAATCAACCACCAAAAGAATAGAAAAAGGAAGTTCAAAAATAGTTATCTCATGATTCAAGACTAGATATAAGCACTTTGAGACAGCAACTCATTTGCTGTGTACTGGAACTCTGATGCACATTTCAGTGTTAATCATTTGCATATATTAATTTGTTTAAAATTAGATAGTTGTTTAGTTGCTATAAAAAAAGGAAAACTAATGAGCAATGTGGTCACATTTAAACAACTATGAAGTTTTGTTTAATCCTTTACTTATAAATAATTCACAAGGGCATTTCAACACTTGAATGTTCATAAGCAGAATATAAATCACCCAAGCAAAAGTAAGTTACTGCTTTTAAGCCAAAGCTCCAACTAGCCAGGGAGTTGCCTACAGGAATTAACCAGAACAAAATCCTGATTAAACAACTAATTGGCTTGTCCACTAATGAAAAGAAAAACAAAGTGCCTTTCTCTACCTCTAGACAGAGGGTCATAAAAACAGATGTTCTTCTGAATCACCTCAGAGAAGATGCTTAAATCACTGACAATGAAATTCAACAAGGTGAATCCCATAACAGGGAACAATGAGAATGAGGAATGCACACATCAAAGCAGTCAGCCTCAGCCCTTCACAAAACAGGTGAGTTCTCTGTTTCTAAATCAGTCTTGATTCTCATCATCTCTCCTCTAGTAACAGAATTTGACTGGTTCTGTGACATATGAGTTCTCAATAGTTTACCTGGTACTAACGGGGTTGTATACCTTTTCAGAAATATTCTCAGTAATTTACATAGTCTGTACATGTTTGCTTAAACAAGAATAATAGCAATTTAAAGGATTATGTGAGAATTTGGAAATGGCTGGTGGAATTTTCATTGCTTACTGTGATGTCTACCATCACTCAAAATGAATGATTTCTCAAACATTAAGTTGGCTATGTAACTTAGTTTCAATTAAGAGTGCCTAGTATCTTGGTCATACCAAGCTATATGTAAAAAAGAAATTTTCCAAAACAGAAGTTCTCAATAGGAATCAATTTTTTTTTTAATTTTAGGGACGTTTGACAATATCTGGGGAAATTTTTGGTGGTCACATCCTAGGGGTCAGGATGTACAGGACTGCCATCAACAGGAGGGAATTTTCCATGCAAAATTTCCAAACTGGCAAGGAGGAGAAATCAAGCCCTATACAAATCCTTATTCAAGCTCTAAGTTTATTCATCTGTAAAATGGATATAATATTAACTGGTGTGACACCATCATGTACGTAGAAATGGTTGTCAGCAGATGCCAGATTCAGTCACTTGGAATACTCAGTTCCAGACTGTAAAGAATAAACCTCTGTTCTTTATGAAACAAAATATTAACTGCTTTGTAGCCTTGTTATCAGAATCAGAGACAGTACAACAGAACAATAGACAGTACTTTCCAAGTGGCAATTATTATTATCATTATTAACAATATTATCAATATTAACATATTATTAACAATTATTATCAATATTAACATATTTTTATGATAGGCTAAAACCCAAAGTGAAAGTTACAACAATAACTGACTACAGGATGTTTTTCATGGATTACTCATGAGAATTACCTAAAAGAAGTACAACGGGTTTCTAGACCAGTAGTCATTTTCCCATCTGAAAAAGCTGGACAAGAGACGTCAAGCACCAGCAGGAGTGTACCTCAGGGACTAGGATAGTGCACTCTAATGACTCAGGTTAAATGCACCCAGAGGATGGACAACGCTGTGATCACTTAACATTGCCCCTGGAAAAACTACCTTTCCTTTCTGATGCATGGTGACCGTCCTTACAGTGGAGAGCTGAAGGGATGTGCTTAGCATAACCTTATGAGTGCCTTCACTTCTTTCTAACTCACTGTCACAACAAATAATTCCACACGGGGAAGTTATTTATATGTTTAAAAGCTCATAGTGTGTCACAAATATTGAGCTGAGTATGCCCCTTCAGCTAGTTTTGCTGTTTTGCTCTTGGAAATTCACTATATTAATATATAATCACTGCCCATCATTGTTTTCTTCCAGAACACACATAAATGTCTAATATTCTAGTCTCGTGAAGAACCTAATAGCTAAAAACAGTGACTCTGTGCCAGGAAATACACTAAGCCCTTTCCAAGCACTGCTACATATAATCCTCACAAAAGTCACAGATCCTATTATAATTTGCTGCTTACACACGGCTACAAATGGAGAAGCCTGCACTGGATCCCTGTTGTGTCTGACACCAGCACTTGAAAGCCAAATCACCAAGCTCAGAACAAAGGAATATTAGTTGAAACAACATTTCCAGAAATTCTCCCTGCAGGATAAAAGGATATTAGAGAGAAAGCAAATAGAGCAGAAAGTTCTGAAATAGTTGTCTCTCTTTCTGAGGCAGTAATATTAATGGATTACTTAGACAAAGTCCATGTACAGCAATGGTTAAATACTTCTCACACCATTCTAACAGCAAAGTTTATGCACTTTAATGATGAAGTCTACTGACATTGAATTAAATATTAACAGTCATATTTGCATCTGTACTTTGGAAGCACAGGTAGGGATACAAAAAATAGTTTTTGTCCAGTCTTTAATATACTGTTACAAATGACAGAAATTTAAGATGCTATTTTCTCCCATAAAATATAGCCTGTCAAAATGGCACTTAAACAATAAAACTCTGAATGGCAAATAGATGATTTGAGTCCAATAAGGGAATATCCAGAAATGAATCAATGGATTTACATGATGTTTTTAAAGAGTCATTTAAAAAGTTCAGTCACAAACCAATATAGCATAGGTAATCCCTAGCTATCAATAGCCAATAATTCAATAACTGCAGACTCAGTCTAGCAAAAAATATTCTCTTACTTCAAAAAAGTACTATTCACATAAGTCAATACATACAACACTTGAACACTGTAATAGAAATGCTTATGATTAACATATGATGCAAAAGTACTAGATTAAAGTCAGACAGCTTTATCAGTATTTATAAATTGTCCACATTGAACTCATCATTCAGTTTCTATTTGGAAACATGATGATAATGGCAGCCCTGCCTAACAGTAAGGCTTCACTCATCTTATTAACTTACTTTTCAGTTTAAAATGTTTTTATGACTGCATATGCTATGATGTGGAGTCAAGGACCCTCAACTCCTTAGCCTGCCTACTTGTTAGCTTTATATTCTCATCCAGACTTTTCCCATCCAACCACTTCTACTGTTGTCTCCCCCAACCTATGTACAATCATACCTCATGCTTTTGCTAAATATAAATATCTGCCTGCAATGTTTTCCACGTCAAGTTCACTTCAAAAACAAAAGCAATCTTTGTGAAATCAGGAGTCACTTCCTTTATAACAGCCCCCTTCAGCGCCCTTCTACTCCAGTAGAATTAATCACGCCATTTTGTGCCCATCTCTATCCTGCACAGACACTGCCTATATTCCCTTGCAGGTATGTTTTTGTGTGTTTGTTCTCTCCCCCCTCCCGCCCCCAGACTGCACATAGGTTGGGAGGCAGTCTTTTTAGTTTCTAACATTGTTTCCTCTGTCCCTACAACAACATCCCCTGCACACACTGGCTGCCCCCAGCATGACATAACTGCATTTAAAAGGAAATCTCAGATTGATGCTCAGACAAATGTAGACGTAGAGGCAAAACTAACAAATAAGGAAAAGATGGAGATCTTGATAGTGAAACAAAACTACCTTTTCTTCATCATTTAAAATCCTACTATTAAAAATCTCTACAGGGACTAATGAAGAGGTTGTATCAAGGAAGTAGGAGGAAATGAGCCAGAAAGACACTAATGAAAACAGAAGTTTTCATTGCCAAGAACTTGGGAAGGTTGAAGTTGAATAATCGGTGCCCAAGAACACCCATTTAAGTGCAAGAATCATCATTTTTAAGGCATCAGAAACAAATGCTGTTAATTATCGGGCTGATAATTGAATGAAAAAACAGTGTTATATTTTAGACTCAAATTTATTTTTATTTAAATACTTCCCCTAAAATCTATTTTGTTCCTCAAAGGGAGAAAACAAAAGGGAAGAGAGATCTCTGGAAACCAGCAACAGTCAAGACATGTTTGAAGAATCACACACCAACAGGCAAGGTCAGAATCCAATCAGTATCAAAATAAAATTCAAAAGCAGAGTGTGTGTTTCCCTGCACTGTGTTGTCTGGTGAAATGCTTGTCTCTGATTAGGTGAATTACCCAGAGGTAGAGGAAGATTAGTGAAGAGCTGGATATTTACAGAATGAATAGTTTTTCACTCAATCACTCATTCATGTATTCACTAAATGTTATTCTTTTTTTTAAAATCACCTACTTTGTGCCAGGTTCTGTTCCACAGACAATACATACCAGCTCTATGTTAATGAGGAACTTACACTCTAGAGAAAATGAACTCCAGAAGAGATCTCCTCAATATTTTCTGCATGGACGAGTCCAAATTCATATCAGAATAATTTGTTTCAAGACCTAGTCTAATATTTTCCAACTAGGCACTGACCATAACCACTTGTATGTTCTGCTGAATTCCAAAGAAGGCACGTTTAAAACTGAGTTTCTTTAGCTTCCCCAACAAATAAGCTATTTTTCCTGATGCACTTTGATTTTTGATATTATCATTTTTTAATCTCCCAATTTCAAAATCTCGCTCGTGTTTTATTCCTCTACCTAGGAGTCCTGTACCGGAAATTAGTCACTGAATCTCCAATCAAAATTACAATCAAAATTATTGCCTTTCTTTTTAATCTCAGAAATGCCTTTCTGATTCAAATCTTTATGAGTAAATCAGGCCTAGACTACTGCCGGTTTCCCTGAGTGGTCACTTCCACTTAGGAATATTTATCACATAATTGCCTTCTTTTCTCCAAGCAATACTAAGTGACTAGTATACATTATTCACATAAGGCTTTCCCTTTGCCAGTCTGTCTCACATCTTAGCTCAAAAACCTTCCAAATTCTAAATTATTCACCCACCTTTAAATGACTTAATGCAATCTATTCCCAGCGCCCCTTCGAGCCCTTCTCTCCAACTTCTTCCCACTACCACATACATTCTAACAAGAAAACCCAAAAATAACAGGGAAATCAATAGAATAGAATTTAACATTTCCAAATACAGAAGCATAAAATTATTGCCATAAAACTAGAACAAATATTTTGCTTTTCATGTATTGGACAAAGTCTGTACATAATGATTTTAATGACTTCTTATTTGTACTAAAACAAATATTTGAACTCAGACACAAATTCAATTTTCTTTAGCCAAAAGCATCCTATGTCTCAGTAAAAAATACAGAGAATTAGAAGCATGATCACAAAAAAAGAAATGAATCATGAGTTGATTGTATAAGGCTCCGTAGTAGGACACGTGTACCCTGGGTTACTCCCCAGTATCACAAAAGAATAGCTAAAAAATTTCTAAGAGAAATAAATGATAAGAAAGGTTATAAAGGTAAATTTTTGTTATAGATTATCCCACACAGTCAAAGGCAATACAATCAAAAGCAATGGCAATACTCTCATTTTATGTGGCTGCCCCTATTTAAGAGAAAAGAAGCAATGTGAAAAAAAATATTGATTTTAATAGAGAGATGTACAATGAACTCAGATAAATGGAGGAAAACAAGGTGTGCCCTGTTGGGAGAATAACACCAAGAAGATATTGTTTTACCAAATTAACTTGGAGTTCTATTCTTTATAACTTTTCTACACACTTTTAACAATATCTTTAATTATTTACTTATGTTAAAGAACAGTTCTAGGTATTTATTTTTCAGATTAAAATACAGAGAATACTTACTGTTTTTATATGGATTGGATCCTTTCATTACTAATATTTTCTGGTTTTTATCTCAGCCAAGAAAGCAGAAAAGCATATCTACTCAGTGATAGTTAGCATTCAGTTACATGACATAAAGATGGGGGAGGAAATATACTGCAATAAGCTTTTCAGTGGGAGGGTAATATAAAAATCACTTCCTAAATTATGACTAAAATATGGCCACTCAATTGTTGGATTATCTGATTTAAAACATTTAATATGGTGTGTGCATGAGAAAGAAAAGCACTTAATAATCACAAAGCTCCACTTCTGATAAAAAAATTTCCATGAATAACTTCAACCAATAATAAAAATCATATACTAAAAGGATTCTGTAAAAAGTGTGGACTTGTTCTTTATTAATCAATAATTGAAGCTCATTATTCAGTCTTTATATTTTTAAAGAAAAGAAAACCTTCTGTAGATCATAAAACAATCTTCTTTATATGCATTGAAATATGATTAACAAATAGACGTACTGAGAAAGAAAAAAATACAGATGAGCCAGAAGTCATGGAAAACAAACCCACAAAATCCTTGAGATAACTCAAACTACAGTTCTGTTTTACTATGAGCTATCTGATAATAGTGATGACTTCAAATCTACAGTTCTTCCCACAGAAAAATCCAACCATAATGGAGTAAAACTAAGGGTCACAACTTTGAGATGACAAGTTTATTCTCATCTCTGTTACACTTTTCAAAGTGTGTTTCTAAGCTGAAATTCTTCATAGCTAGTAATGCAAACTTTTGTGGAAGTTCCATTGAACAGAGGAGCTATTTGAGTAGGAAAGAAAAAACAGTTTCTTTAAATCTGCAGAGTTAGCATATCCTCAAAGACTTTAATAGAAATAAATTTAAGATATTTTGCCTTGAAAAAGCAAAATTATTAGTGTTTAAAGATAGCCTCTGATAGATGCTTGATATTTTTATGTTCTTCACTTCAAATCATGCAGGTGCAATGTCACAAAATCTGCAGATGTTGATTTCTGATTATAGAACTCTTATCTTCTTCAGAGCATGGTTTAATTTATATCTACCATGGAAATGAAGAAGGCAACACATTTGGGATTCAAATAAAGATAACTTACTAATGTCCTCCTTTGATTACAATTGTCAGGCTTCTTCTTCACTAATATATTAGCTGCTTCTTAAATATTTGTTAGCAGTAAAGGAAATGTAAATGACTTATACAATAAAGGTTTATAATGCTTTAAACTGACCTTATTTGTTGAAAATGGGTCAAAGTTGAAGGCTTATAACAAACATGATGTGATAGCTGAATAATTCCCACCCAAAGACCGTATTATAAACCCTAAATGCATTGCTACTGTATATGGAAATAGTACTTTATGTTTTTGAGGATAGTGAGGTGGGGAAACTGTCCTGGATTATCTGGCCACCTTCAATATAATCAAAGATTCCTTGTGAAACAGCCCTTATGAGAGTTTGATATGCCTGAATACAAATCATAACTCTGCTACTTTGTAGTTTTGTATCATATTTAATATCTCTGAGTCATAATTTACTCATGCATAAAATAAGAATAGGTTGTTAATGAAAATTAAATCAGGTAACATACATAACATAAAGTAGTTAGTACTGAGGTTTGCAAATTCTAACTCAATAAAAGGCAGATAAATTACATAAACAAGTATCATATATACTTAACTGAAGAGGCTAGAAGAGCTTGGCTTACCAATCACTGTTGTTAAGGATGAGGCTCAAGAGCTGCTAGATTGTGTACAAGGATGACCCACACAAATTTTCATTCAAAATTTTTAATGTTAATTTTTAATGTCCATTCCCTCATTTAAATAACTAAGAAAATTATTTCTTGACCAATTTAGTCCACAAGATTATTTTGTGACCTCCAGCAAACCACACTGCAGATCTTTGTGTTCCATGACCACGGACATTCCTAGACAGAATTCTAATTCTGTCATTGTTTTCAGTTATCATCTTACTCTCCCCTTTCTCTTCACTCTTGATGTTCACCTAAGACATTGTGCTACAAAGACTACAAGTTGGGTGGCTTCGCTGGACTCCTTGTGCCAAAGAGCTCTCCAGAGCCAGGACCTTTCATTCTGTTTCCTGTCTGCAGAGGCATCGTAGGCTTCCTCCAGCTCCTGCTCATCAGTCCAAACTGACCTTATGCCTTGGCCAACCCCTAGTTTAAGCAGCAATCTAGAAACTCATCTAGAGGTAAAGGTACTCTAAAAAATTGGCCCTGCATTTAGGAAAAAAAAAAAAAAAAAAGGAAGACAGAAAATAAATAGAGAAATTCTGGCTTGCTTAAGTAGAAAACCAATCTTCCATCTGTGGCAGTAACAACTACCAGATACAATTGAATTTGTCTTATGTGGAAAGGAAAAATAAACAGACCTCACTGAAATTTAATTTACAAGAATGAGTAAACACTTCCCTCTAGTAGACCAACTAGTCATGATTGGCATGCATGAGAGGTCCTACAACAGCCAGGTTTTCTTTGATTTGGTTTGGTTTGGTTTGGTTTCTTGGTACTGGGGATCAAACTCATGACTTTGCACTTGACAGGCAAGTGCTCACACCACTGAGCTAAACCCCTGGCCAATTTATTAAATTTTTGTAAACTTTTTTATGCCTTAACCTGAAGTCACCAATAATTTCTCCCTTGTGCATTCCAAATTTTTTTTATAATTTTACTTATTGCATTTAAAACTATACTCTCTTGTGAGTTAATATTTGTGTAGTGATATAAAATAAGGGACATTTCATTCTTTTAATTTTAATCTTTAAAAATTGATGCTCAGGTTTTTCTAGTGCCTTTAGTTGAAATGATTATAATTTCCTTCACTGAACTGTGTAGGTACATTTGACAGAAATCAATTAGCTGCATGTATGATTGTATGTTTTTGGTCAGTCTGTAAAGTTCCATTTATCTGATTATCTGTTTCTCCTCAGTGCCACACAACATCTTTTTGGTTATAGCTTTCTAGTAATCCTTGAAATTAGGAAATGATTTCTCTAAAACTCTTTTTCATTTTTCCCAGTTGTTTTGATTATTCTAGATCCTTTGTGCATACATTTAATACATAAATCAGCTTCTCAGTAACTAAAAAATTTTATCGGAACATTTATTTGGGTTGATTTGAATCTATTTGTCATTTTAAAGAGAACTGACATCTTAGCACTTTAATCAAATTCATTAACATAGTATGTCGCCAAATTTGTCTTTAAAATTTTCTTAGTAGTTTTCAGAATGTAGATTTCATATTTTTTGTTAACTTTATACTTAAGT